TTGGCGCGAATAAACATTCACAAGTTAAAAGACATGTGATAGCATGTAGTTAATGTTTTAGTATATGTCTACAAGAAAATTATAATAATCTCTAATGTAATGCAATCATTTTATTCTTATTATCAATTAGAATCTGGTGTTAATTTTAAAATATTTTGTCAACAGATCCATCCCGACAGAAGAAGCGAAAGCGTTCGCGGAGAAAAATGGTCTTAGTTTTATTGAAACATCGGCCCTCGACTCCACCAACGTGGAGCCTGCATTCCAGAATATTCTAACTGGTAAGCAATAATCATTATTCGAGATCTATCTGACGTTAGTCGAATTATAACACATAAAAGATATATTGACATAACTCGACAGCTTTTTTATTTTTCACTTTTCCCTTTACCCTATTTTGTTAACAATTTTAACAGCGATGGAGCCTATTTTAACATCTTCGCACCGTTGGGTCGGTTCGCCCGGTGCAATACCACGACCACACAAAAAATAGACGTGAAGTGAGAGAATTTTTGTGTTTCATCTGATGAGTGTGATGCCGGAGGCCTAATTTTAGTCCCTTCCCCTTTCCATCTTTTTCTTAAGAGGAAAGGATGGCAGCGAAGGAGACGCAGAAATAGGGGAAATATTATTTTCATGTGCGTCTTTTTCTCCGTCGATTAAGAGCAACACATTTGCAATTGCGGATGTATATGGGCAGCGGTCGCTTCGTCATTTCGGCGGATTCCGGTGGCCGCTTGCTCTTTTTCCACCTTATAATTTAAAAACTGTTGTTTTAGATATTCATCGAACCATTTGTCAGGTAATAAAGGAGTTTTTATTTGTGTCGTGTTTCAGAAATCTACAGGATCGTGTCTCAGAAGCAGATGCGCGAGCCGCCCGAGGGCGACGTGATCCGGCCGGACGCGGAGCCGGCGGACGTGCGGCCCGCCGCGGACTCCGTGCGCAAGCAGTGCTGCCAGTAGACACTGTACGTACACCGCACACCGCACACCGCACACCACACACCACCACACATGGCTCTCACATTGCCCTTAAATTTCTATCTATAACTGGCATTTAGTATTTCTAAACAATATAATTGTAACTAGCTATATTAATTTAAACACTCCACTAGAGAACTCGACAGGAATGCGCGCGAATCATTCATCCTTCTAATGACATTGACAGCTGTCAGCAAGGGACGTGCCGTTTGTGCCGATAATAGTGTTTCGCCAATTCTACAGCACGGTACAGATTTTCTTTTTAACAGTATAGAGTAACAAACTGACATTCCTAATAGGCAATATGCACACGCTCTAAATTAAACGATTTTTTTGTATACTCTGTTACTATAAAAACATAGCTGTAATGTAATATGATTTAGTAGCGTATTTTAACAATTGAAATGTGTATTTTTAAAACTCTCTCGCCAAGTTCTAAATCTTAACACTATTGGTCGAAACAAGTGATAGATTTAATCACTTTTTGACTACGTCACAACACTTTGGCACATTCCGGCCGCGTTTTATTCGCACGAAAATAATTCTTTAGTTGGTATTTTCATCTAATTTTTTCTGGTTTTCTGCTGAGATGCTGTTAGCCTTAGCTATTTTGAATGCTAGGATTAATGTTTCATCATTGGCAAACTATTAACATATGTTTTGTTTGTAGAAAGTCCAGTTCACGATGGAGCCGAGGAGAGAAAGAATGGAATACAAAAGGAATAAAGGCAAGAATCATTCCCGGACAGTGCAGTGCGCGGCGCCGCGCGGACTCGCCCGCACTCGCCGCACTCGCCCGCACTCGCACAGCGGCTCATGTAGATAGCTTTGTGTAATTATTGATATTTAGTGTCGGAACGAATAAAGTTAAAAATATCTATATAATAATTATTATAATGTGAGGAATTCGTTGAACACAATGTAGTATGAATCCAAGTTGAAATTATTGGGATGCACGTCAAATCTTTTATTTTCTTTACGCGCTTTCGATGATCGTTTTCACAGTTTTAATTCGTTCCCTGTTGTTTTATTTGAAATGCTATTTCGTTTGGATAGTAGATAATTCATTATATATTTATTTAGTTAATATTAATAGCCTATCCGGCATATGAAATTGAAACACCAATTTGATAGCTATCGAAGGATGCAAAAACGTTGGCTTGATGTTTATAAATATATATTGGAAGATGTTATATAGCACACAAATCGTCGCTTCGTGATTCAAATATGTCTAATTCATTTTTTTTGTATAACATTAGCCGGTAGTATAACTAAGAGATAGCTTTTTTAAAATGATCATTTTTTCTTTATGGATATGTGCCTTCAGCGGATGTGTTGAGACATGATGGCTTTCATTGTTGAAGTTGTAGCGGTCGGCCATTTTTATGTTTGGTAAGACGCTAATGTAAATAGGCCCTTACATTTATGAAATTATTCTCGTTAACAATAGAAAATGATTATTCATATTGGGTGCTAGGAATGTTTTAAAATGTTCTTTAAAATTTTTGAGTCATCTATTACTATATGCAAGTTATCAACTTGTACTAGATTTATTTAATGTTTTTAATTGATCTTTTTTATTGAATTTTATATGAAAATAAACAATTTTACCGACATGGTAAATGTAAGATTTTACACAATAACTTGCTTGGAAGTTTTTAGATAAAAATGATAAATGTAAGGGCTTATCTATATATTATAATGTTAACGAAGGCGCCGCTAGGGTCGTTTTTAAAGTTTGATAATGTTTTGTTGACAGTTGTAAGATGCGCGACTTTGCCACGCGTTTTTTTAATCTGTCGCGCCTTGTCTATGGAAGTAAGGGCTTGCTTGTCTATGGAAATAAGGGCGTTTGTACACTGGGCGTTCACCCGCTAGTTTAGTGCCGTTAATATCTATTGAATACTCAGGCGAGCCTTCGCACGCAAACAAGTTGGTCTCATTCACACTAACACAGATGAGACAGTGTTCGTTGTATAAGAAATATGTTATTATGGTCTTCATATGCATGGTTATTTTTTTAGTGCCTATCTGTAATTACTTTATTAAAGACAAAGATAATAAAATATAATGTAAATTTCTTTGTGTTTCATTGATTTTTACCTATTAAATTAATTCTTTAGATGTGTGTACTTTGACTTTGAAATAAATGTAGTCTACGAGTTAACTTGAGATTTCACTGGCATGTGACCTTGATTCCAATGAGCCATGGACTTGGTACAGATATATATATTTGTAAGGAAACAATATAGTTTATCTGTGTTTGCCTTACAAACATATTTTGTTCACTGAAGATGACGTCACCTGCCTAGGTCTTTTCGTACGGAGAGAGTTACCGAACAAAAACAAAAAGGGATTATCTGGCTATAGTTGATCGAAATTGTGAAGTTAGCCACACCAAAAAACTCGACCTTACAAGTCGCGGAAATACAATTTCCGTAACCTATTTGGTGATATTGTCAGATAAAAATTCGATAGCATGACGTGGCTATTACACAACTTTTATTAATTTTAACCGATGCGATGACTAGGATTAAATTCATAAAAAGGAAATAAATTGGATGATTCTAGAACAAAAACTTCGATTTGATTAATATTCTGTAGTTCTAGTAAGACTAGGAATTTGTCTGAACAATTTTTTACATAGTTCATGAAGTTTCTACATACAAAGGGTCCTATTTAGTTGCAACTTCTAAACAAAAACGATTATATCGACGCCTATTTCATTCTTTTAAATTTATAGTGAAAGCCTATACTATTCACTAACAATATTATTAAAACATCGAAAAAAAATAATCCTATTTTCATAAAAAATAACTTAATTTATAAACAAACATACGTTTATACATTTTATTGAACAAATTTCAAGGTTATCTGACATTTCCACAATGTTTCGATAGCCGGCCGGCGGCGCGGTGAGTTTACTTCGGGTCAGTTAACGCTAGGTGGGCGTCTGCGACGGTACACTTTACTAAGGTAAGTATTTACAGTATTCTTTACTTATATTGTCTTGTCACAACCTTATTAATTGCAACATAATAATGTTTTTAATAGTTAAATACTAATTGTTACTTCTTTAGTTCAGAAATTTAGTTGTATAATCTACGAATTGACCAAGTTGCCGTGCATAATTATTTATTTTTACCATTAAATGAACGAGGTAAAGTAGACAAAAAGTCGTATTTTTTAGTTATCATTGTCTTACCAAAACAAGGATATTGTAAGTAGGCACATACTGCAGTAATTTTAAAATGAGCTGTGTCATGTCATTCTCCAAGTTATCATAATGATGTAATTTTATTTTTGGTACAAACATTCAAATATATTAGACCAGAGATTATTTTTATATCCCGCTATCGTAAATTGTTAGGTGTGTGAATCCTAGGGAACCAGTTGTGAATTTCAGTCCTAACGTAAATTGGCGCATTAAGTTTTAGACATTTTAGAAATATTGTAATTTCATTATTATATCATAATTAGATATCGTATTTAGTTTCGTTTCAGACAGTTATGACTATCGACCTGTACTACACACCGGGGTCGGCTCCGTGCCGCGCCGTGCTACTGGTGGTGGCCGCTCTCAACATCGACGTCAACCACAATCTGGTTGACCTCAGAGCTGGGGATCAATTGAAGCCGGACTTCTTAAAGGTGACTTTTACATTTATTTTTTAAAATTTTTGCATGCACTACTATGACTAGGAAATATACTGTCCTTCCCCTAACATGATTATAAAGATGGCCTTAACCTTTTTGGTGCTATATCATACCACGAGAGTCCCCAGCCGGTGTTTTACATTTTTCAGTTCCCCAGGGAGGTGGGGAAGTAACTTCTAACCTAAGTTAGATATAGTACTGAAAATGTGTATGTCGTTTTTATAATTTCGTCTAGAAATTAATTGCAAAAGTAGCATAACAAAATGCGATAATATCAAGGAACGTAATGTAATAAAAAAAGGTTTTTTTTCCAGTTAAATCCTCAACACACTGTACCAACGATTGTAGACGATGGTTTCTCTCTGTGGGAGTCGCGCGCCATCGGCCGTTACCTGGCAAACCAATATGGCGGCGACAGCTCGCTGTATCCTAAAGACCCTAAAGCCAGGGCAGTAGTGGACCAGAGACTTGACTTCGATTTGGGGTCACTATACCCGAAATTCGCTCAGTATTTCGTAAGTTTACCTTATTAGTCTATTTTAAACATGTGAATCTGAACTAGAAATCGATTTATATCAATTAATAATTGGCAAAAATTAAAATTTCCGTTATGTACCAGTATCCTCAAGTCTTCGGTGGTCAGCCCGCTAACGAGGAGCATCTGAAGCAACTCCAGGGCAGTCTGAACTTCTTCAATACGTTCCTGGAGGGGAGCAAGTTCGCGGCGGGCGAGGAGCTGACCTTGGCCGACCTCAGCCTGGTGGCCACCGTCTCTACCATCGACTTAGCCGGCATCAGCATTGCGGATTACCCTAATGTTGTTAGGTGAGATATTGTGATCACGAAATTTTTTTTTATAATATAAGGTGCGCCGACCCTACGGGAGTAGGATAAGGCAGGGGAGATGATGATGATAAGGTGGCAAGCAAGCGGCCTGAATCCACAGAAATGGAAAGCGACCGCTGCCTATAAACATCCGCAATTGCAGATGCGTTACCTACCCTTCATTGACGGAGGAGACGCACATAAAAAGGACATTTCCCCTTCCTAGGCTTCTCCTCCACCGTCAAATCAACTTTTCCTTCACATCCTTTCCTCTTTAAAAAAGAGTGGAGAGAAAAAGGGACTAAAAGTAGGCCTTCGGTACCACACTCATTTGACTAAACGCAGAATTGCTTCCACTTGGCGCCTGTCTTTTGTGTGGTCGTGGTATTACTGGGGGCGTGCCCTGCACTGCTAACATGTTAAAGCGGGCACTACGACCGGTCATACTATTTAGAAGTATGATTAGTAAAATAAATTGTCTCGTGTCATTCATGGCCGATATTAGATCATCGCGATGGTTCAACCAAGATTGTGTAGTAGTATAAAAAATGAACATGCTATGTCATTGTGTAAAAGTTGATCTAAGTTACATTAAAATAAATTTAAGTTTAAACAGTGGTAGAGCACGTTTTAATATCTTCGCAATGTAGAGCTCGCCCGCAATACCACGACCATACAGAAGACAGACGTGAAGTGGAAGCAATTCCGAGTAAAGTCAGTTTATTAAAAATGACGTCACTATCAGATAAGGAAACAAAATCCGTTATATCCAACACATTTTACACGTTGGATTGTTATCCTACAACTTACAATTTGTTGGGACAAGCCCTTAATGTACAGCGAACGGATGACATGAGAATAACCATACTAATATTATAAATGTGAAAGTTTAGATGGATGGATGTTTGTTAGAGTTTGAAGCCTAAACATCTGAACGGATTTCGATGAAATTTGGTATAGATGTAGAGGATAGTCTGGAAGAACAGGCTACTTTTGTTTTTTTAAATCCCACGCGGACGTCGCGGGCGAAAGCTAGTTGTATATAATAATGATTCATTTGTTACAGATGGTTCGAACTAGTGAAGAAAACTGCGCCTAACTACGAAGAAGCCAACGGCAAAGGTCTGAAGATATTCAAAGCTATGATAGACAGCCTCAAGCCTAAAACTGAACTTTAATTATCCTTTGTACTTATGATGTAAGAATGTATACTCTATTTTTTTAATAAAATAACATACAATTTAATTTCTGTTTTTCTTTAATATACAAAAGATTTTTTTTTTTACAAAAAAAACAAAACCTGCTTCCAAACGAAATAAATTAAAACTAGTGGACGTATTAAAAAAATATATATATTTTCAAATTATTAATAGCAAATGTCAAAATGACATGACATGACACACCTTGGCAATCTTGCTTCCTTGATGTTGGCAGCGACTTATGGTCTCTTTCCCACATTAGAGTTTTTATGCAAAATGTTTACCCCCTAAGTTTAAAGGCAGGAAAATATATAGCCGTAAGTTTAGTGCTTTTTATTAAAAAGAGGATTATTAAAAAAATATGCTGTACTTGCTGACATCTTAGGCAACAAAGTGTGTGTTTACGCTTTATTATAATAGTATAGATTACATACCGCACAGTCACGCTATTTGAACAAAATATAGATAACAAGATTATTTGAAAAGATTATAATGTTACATCAGTTTGAAGTAAAAAATAGTCAGTGTGAATTAGTTTTAGTGCCTCAGCATCAGTATTGACAACACCACAGTGAAACTGCAAAAATACTTCCTACATCAAACGTAAGTATTAGATAAAAGAAACCATTCGATGTACACGCCACTAATATTTCCAATTTTATCTATATGACAAAAACTGACAACTCACTAAATTATCCTGAACATAAAGTGTTTTTTCATGTAATTTGAATAATTGATTTCCAATTCTTCTCTATTAAACTTATCTTATTGTGCTTTGAAACTTTTAATCGGTTAACATTACATAAGTCACTATTTCGGCCTATAAATATTGAGAATATTTATTTAATTTTATTATTTTATTAGTATTATTTCACAGCTAACAATGCCGATAGACTTTTACTACGCGGAAGGTTCGGCTCCTTGCCGCTTTGTCTCGTTAGTGGCGGCCGCACTAAAAGTCCCTTTAAACCTCAAACATGTCGACTTTATGGCTGGAGACCACATGCGTCCTGAATACATCAAGGTATGAAATATTTAAATTCTATTATAGATCAGTGATTCCCAAACAAGACTAGGGGCTTACCTTGGTACACAGAAAACCCGACAGGGATCTACAGTGGTTGGAATAGGCAGATTTACTGAAACCGTCAAAGTCATCATTAAAATAAAATAATAATCTCTGGTCTACATAATACTTATTCTATATCTCGATTATAAATAAAATAATAACTTTTTAGATGAATCCTCAACATAATGTACCTACAATAGTGGACGATGGCTTTGTCCTGTGGGAGTCGCGTGCCATTGGACGGTATCTGGTCAACAAATATGCCGGCGATAGCTCGTTGTATCCTAAAGACCCTAAAGCCAGGGCAGTAGTGGACCAGAGACTAGACTTCGATATAGGAACACTGTATAACAGATTTTATCAGTACTTCGTAAGTATGTATTGTAATAAAAAAGCAGCTATTCACCTGATGTACGAATATCAATGTTCTTAAACCTCAAGAAGCCTAGACTGCTTCACAGGTTTGAAGAATGAGTTGTGATTTGATTCTTTAACCTTTTATAAAAAATCAATGATTCGAACATATTTTTAGAGTGAAACTCAGAAATCTGCTCTAATTCAATTTCCGAATGAATTTTCATTAGTACCCACAAATCCTGGAGGGTCAACCTGCTAACGAAGAGCTGCTAATAAAACTGCACGAGGTCCTCGCCTTGCTTAACACGTTCCTGGAGAAGAACAAATACGCGGCGGGAGAAGAACTGACTCTGGCTGATCTCAGTCTTGTTGCTAACGTTTCAACTATCGAGGCAGCCGGGATTAGTATTGCGGAGTACCCGGACATCCTTAGGTAACATGATATGACCAACAATTCATTATCGTATTTTAATCAATTATAGCATTAACAAATAGTATGTCCAGGATTTTTTTTATTGGATTTTTAGTAACAGTGTTTAAAAGAGGTTAGTGTGCCAGCTTTGACTTCAGTTTTAAAGAAATGAAAGAACAGATAGGTCGAACTGTTGCACCACTTGTTTGAACTATGACTATGACCCACCTATCAATAGTTTTATTAAAACCGATAACAATAAAGTTTAACAATGCTGTTTCTAATTTTAGATGGTTTGATCTTGTCAAAAATACGGCTCCAGATTACGAAGAAGCAAATGGAAAAGGCGTACGAGTATATAAAGAAATTATTGAAAACTTTCGAATAAAGAAATGAATATAAAATGCTACTTTGAATAATAGATGTCGCTGTACCAAGTTATTGAATTGAATTGAAAGGTGCCTCTATTTTTTTTTTTTTTTTTTTTTTT